TCAAAAAATCTATCGATATCAGTTTTGAGAAATTTTTTTGGATCCATTATTGATGCTTTAATCAAAACAGTTTAAAACAGGAAATTTTTGAAAAACTGAACCTTTTGCAAGAACCATCAGTTTACAAAAATATTAGCCTTCATCTTCATAAATCATGCATGAACTGAATTCTTTTCGTGTTGTTCGGTCGAAATATATCTAATCGTAGAATTTTAGAAGAAAAAAATATATTCAATAAGTATTTTTTATCGTTGTAACACAGTAAAGTAGTGAAAACCACCAAAATACTCAGTCTCTTCCAGAAAAAGCTTTTTATTGACATAAAGATCAGAAATAAATTTAACTTTCAATACACCATTAGAAAGAGCACTCTTTGTACTACAAAAATCATCATCGAACATGCTTTCTCATTTCTCTTCCAATTTGAAAAAAACTAATAGAACATAGAAAATTATGTTGTTCGATGGTGAAGTTGCAAGAACCTTTTTAGAGGTGTTTAGTTTTTGGCTTTTCTTCCATCTCAGATTCGTTTTGGAACAATATGTCTGATACAAAAATTTATAGTTCAGACCAGAGATGAGCACAGGACAAGATTTTTCGTCCTGTCCTGCCCTGTCCTGTTAGCCAGCTCTGTCCTGGCGGGCGGCAGTACAGGACAGAAATCAAAATCGCGTCCTGTCCTGTTTTGTCCTGTTGACAATCTCTGTCCTGGCGGGCGGCAGGACAGGACAAAAATCAAAACCGCGTCCTGTCCTGTTTTTGTCCTGTCCTGCTTTGTCCTGCTGACTTTTTCCGTTCCACTCACTGATAGGAGAATAATGAAAACTTTTTCCTAGTGTTTTTTGCTAATTCATTTTATTTTTTTCGAGAGACAGAGAGTCGATCACGATTTCCTAATCTGTCTATCGTTGATCAGGACTGTGCTGATAAGGAATAAGGAGGGCCCACGCCCTCAAATTTTGAAAAGTACTGCTTTGCTATAGTGAAACTGTGCTAGAACGTTTGTTTTGAAATCTTAATGTAAGAACTTTATCCTGAGGAAGAGTGCAGGGGTGTATACTTAGGATACCCGTACCCTTTTTTATTTGGGCACGTCCCTGTCGTTTATCAAAGCAAATATTGATATCATTCATATTATACCTAATTTATTCTTTACTATTCTCAAATACTGGAAATACATTATATATCATCACTTATTTGATAAGTAGAATAAAATATAGTAAAATATTAATTTTTTATCTTGCTGACACATTCATGACAAGAAAAAAAATAGAAAACAATGACCATGATTCGTTGTAATATAATTATTTTATTTTATACTAGATACTGTCTATGAAAAGTAGCAACAGCATAGACTATTATCACAAAAAACAGCTATTTTCATGAATGAATGAACGTATACTATAAAGATTAAAAAAAAAATAATATATCCTATCATTCTTTGAAATACGCTATATTTAGTTAGTTTTCCTGAATAACCAAAGAATTTTGACAAATTTATTAATGCTGTTGAGAATTCTTTTTTGTAATATTATATTTCTGTTTCGTATTTAGGTAATTGTTCAATTTTGAGAAATATAATATGTTCGACGATGATGAAACTTTACTAAACCCTATGCTGAATATTTATTTTGAGAGTCAGTAAATAGAAACAAATGAAATACAAAGTAAAATAAAAAACGTTCAAGACGAAAAGAACAAAGAACATTTGTTTGGTGTTGCTTTCTCTTCATATTCTAACGTAAAATTTCTGAATCATCAATGACTACATCTAATTGGCGCTTTTTTTTCAACCAATATTTTAATTAGTGTTATGATTCATCCTCATAGCGATACCTATCAATCACCACATACGTCGACTGTTAAAAAGTGACCGGTCGAAAGTGATAGTTGTTTAACAAATATAAATAACAAAAGAACGAGAAAATTCACACGAGAAATTTTTCTGTCCTGTTCCGTCCTGTTGTAATCGTTATCTTTGTCCTGGCGGGCGGCAGGACAGGACAAAAATCAAAATCACGTCCTGTCCTGTTTTGTCCTGTTGACAATCTCTGTCCTGGCGGGCGGCAGGACAGGACAAAAATCAAAATCGCGTCCTGTCCTGTGCTCATCTCTGGTTCAGACATTGCTCTTTCTAATAAAAAAAGGATTTGATTGATTCAGAAGTTAGCAATATGGTCTAACAGGGTTTGACATTCTTCCAAAGACTTTTGCATCGCTCATTATTCCTTTGCTTTTTTTCTAACAGCAGTTTTATTGATTCCATGAGGGTTATCAATTTTCAAATTCTATATAAAAAGGAAAATTCGTTTCGTTTATCACACTTCCTAATGACGCATATTTATCATGACGAAAAAATAAAAAGAAACACTATAGTATACAAGAAAGATACCAAAAAAAGGTCATGGAAGTAAAATAAGACATTATATAATCGAGAATGTTGTTTACATTTATTCATCAGTACAAGAAAAGAACAATAATAAAGAGGGTTTTGTATAATGTTGTTTCAAAAAATTTACATATTAATATGTATGTATATATTTTTGTATGCAATTTTTTACATCAGAGTGAGATTTTTTGAAATAGTTTTTTTAACATTCATGGAGGCAAAAGAAAGAAAAAACATCTAAACTCGTATAATATACCTTCTGTGCCAAACGATCCATAAAAAAGTTATTCTTATATCACTATCCATATTCATTACATTTGTATCATCATCATCGTCATCCGATGATGTTGCCCATTTTTCACCAGTATTACTTTTTTTTTTTCTTATAATGGTTTATTATATTGTTTAAGTGTATCATGGTTGACTAGGTGTTCCGTTGGATGAATAAAACTTTTTGCTGCTTTCTTCATTTCTTTTTATTGCACAAAGATTTTAATTGTTCAATTTTTTTAATTATTAACTTGAAAGAATCACATGTATGTACACGTGATCGTTTGTTTATTATTCAAAGAAAAGATTATATACGTCTAATCGTTAAGAAGGTAGGAGAAAGAATGAGATATATTCGTTTGCTTCTCTCTATTACATCCTAGTAAATGCTTTTCATTAAGATTTTTTTTAAAAACAATAATACATTATATATACGTCTAAGAAAAATAATACTTTTATTTGACTAATAACTCGTTAGTGGTCAACTACCTTCATAAAGCAAATAAATAAGAAATACATTGTAATTTTATCTTGTTTTCACAAGTCTATATAATAAATTCAACCAGTTCTAATAAAGAACCGATTTTATGTATTTGAAATTGAAACTACGTTGGATCATAATGATGAATGAGAAGATCAAGATTTAGAAAACTATGATAAAATATCTTTGACTTAAAAGTGAGTTTTTGAAATAAATGTAGATGTATTTTTAATTTGTAAAAGTTGTTTGTTTTACATTTGAAATGAATAATCATTATGAGAAAAATATTATATTGATGGCCGATGATTATTTGTTCTCTTAGTACATCAAGAGTTGTGATTCAATGATTTTTTTTTCGAGTTGTTATGATCGCTAGACTAGTTACTTATTTTTCTTGATCTTATATTTCGTTATCATTCTCTGTATTATTTTTATTTTCTTCCTAAGTAACTCGAGATAATTTCCAATTAAACTATTTTTATAAAACAAGTAACAATAAGTTAGTTGTGTTTATGGAAAAGTCAGCGAATGAAAATATTCTTTTAATGACATATGAACTTTTTCTTTTAATATGATCTCCACTTTACAGAATTTTTTTATGTTTATTTATTTGGAACAATATGGCAATCAGACGAATCATTTTCAAGTTTTTTTTCGTAGTCTATGAACACAGTTATTGAGCAATGTATGAAATCATATAGAAAGTATCAGTTGATACGGTTTCTTTGTTAGTATTTTTCTCAAGCTATATATTTACAATTGTATTATTTTCTTAAAAGTCATAGTATATTAAAAAGTGTAACAGTGATCTCTTTTACAATAACGAATTCATTCTGAAGCTAGATGTCTTTCAATGTGCTTAAGTACGCAGATAATCGTTGAGTAAATCCGTCGAAGAGAATCACAAATGAAGTTATTTGGTCTTCCAGGACTATAGAAGTAATCGAATTACTATAGATACCATGTCAAAACAGTGTACAATATAAATAATCAAACGGGAGTTTACAGATCACTGTAGCCATTATCAGAAATGAATAATTGTTGGATTTGTCGATCAAAAACTAAAAATTAATTTATTATACTGTCTATGGTGTGTTTCCAGATATCCATTGGAAAAAAATTCTTATATTCTGAACTTTTATTGTTCATTATCAATGCAAAATATTCATGAAGCAACGTTAAAATTGTTGTGACGAATGGTGTCCGCATAGTTTGATTTCAAAACGGATGGCAACTTTCATCATTATATTAGATATGCAGCTGATGAAATTTTTACTGGAGAATTTACTAGATAGAGACTAGAATGCTTTTCATTTCGTAGTTAGAAGCATTTTATCGTCCTTACTTACACTAAATTCAGTACGGTGTCCTTTAAGTTTTTTCAATCACTCTGTGTTCCTCAAAAGAATACTCTAACAAATAAAATATAGCGTGCGATATGCTACGTGGGTATTGACTTCACTGAGAATGAACTAGATTCTATTGAAAATTGTTGATACATATTCCAATTGAACTACAATAATCTAACAATTTCTAATAGAATATCATCGAGATTGTATGAACCCTATACTATTTAATAAGGCATAGTCAAATGTGAATAGTTAATCAGTGTTCACTTCATTGTTCTTATGTTGATTAGCGCAAAATTGTGAACTCAGTTTTCAAGCAAAGTTTCCAAATCCAATTGAATATAACTATAAACCACGATCTGTTGCTGTCGGCGATTTCAACAACGATACTTTGCTGGATATTGTTGTTACTGACATTTATTTTGATACTATAGCTATTTATTTTGGATTTGGCAATGGCACAGTAGGAAGACCAGTAACATATTCGACCGGTGTTGATTCTGTTTCTTATATGATTGTTGTTGGTGATTTGAATAACGACCGTCAATTGGACATTGCCGTTGCAAATTTCGGCACACACAACGTCGGTGTTTTTTTTGGATTTGGAAACGGATCCTTTGCGAGTCAGATAGTACTTTCAACTACATCATCTCGACCAGTCTGGATTCACGTGTGTGATCTCAATAATGACAAAGCACTTGATATTGTTACCGCTAATTATGGTACAAATACTGTAGGTATATTTTATGGATATGCAAATGGAAGCTTTACAAGCCTAAACACGTACTCTACTGGTTATGATTCTTTTCCATTTGCAGTCGTCAGTGGTGATTTTAATAACGACGAACAGATGGATCTTGCTGTCGCCAATTATGGCACAAATTCTATTGGCATATTGTTTGCTAATGGCAATAGTACCTTTGCCAATCAAAGAAGTTTTACAACTGGTTTTAATTCCCATCCATATTCGATTGTCGTTGGTTATTTTAACAATGATATTATGCTAGATATTGCCGTCACTAATCATGGCAAAAATAATATAGTTGTATTTTTGGGTCATGGTGATGGAATTTTTCGAAATGAAATGACATATTCTCTGGAAACAGCTTCTCCATATGCTATTGATATTGGTGACTTCAACAATGACAATCAAACAGATTTAGTTGTTACTAATAACGGCACTAACAATATATGTATACTTCTCGGATACGGTAATGGCACGTTTGCAAATCCAATAATGTATTCAACTGGATCTTCATCATCAGTCTCTATAGCTACCGGTGACTTAAACAAAGACAATCGTTTAGATATTGTGATCATCAACAATGATACAAATACTATAAATATCATGCTTGGTTATGACGAATTCTTTCCAATTCAAACGATATATGTAACTGGTTCTTTTCCAAGTTCAGTAGCTGTTGGTGATTTTAACAATGATGCTCAATTGGATATTGTTGTCACTAATTTGTTTGGACATACTGTTAGTGTATTTTTTGGATATGATAATGGTTCTTTTACAAATAAAACAACTTATCGAACTGGCTTTTCTCCACAATGGGTAGCTGTTGGTGACTTTAACAATGACATTCGATTAGATATCGTTGTCACTAATTCGATTGACAACACTATCAGTGTATTTTTTGGATCTGACAATGGTTCCTTTGCAAACTCAACAACCTATCCAACTGGTCTTTATCCACAATGGGTGGTTGTTGACGATTTCAATAATGACTCTCAACTGGATTTGATAGTCACTAATCAGAATGACAACACTGTAGGCATATTTATCGGATATGGCAATGGTAGCTTTGCAAATCAGATAACATATTCAGCTGGTTGGAGTCCAAACTCTGTTGCTGTCGGTGACTTTAACAATGATATCCGACTGGATATTGTCGTTACTAATTCGTTTGATGATACTGTTAGTGTACTTATCGGATATGGCAATGGTTCTTTTTCAAATCCAATGACTTATCCAACTGGCCTTTATCCGCAATGGGTAGTTGTTGGCGATTTCAATAATGACACTCGGCTGGATTTCGTTGTTACTAATCAGTATAGCAACACTTTATCTATATTTTTCGGATTTGGCAATGGTTTTTTTGCAAATCAAATAACAATTTCAACTGGTTTTGGTCCAAACGCTGTGACTCTTGGTGATTTTAATAATGATCATCAACTAGATATCATTGTCAGTAACAGTGCCAGTAATAATGTAAGCGTATTTCTCGGATATGGTAATGGCTCGTTCGCAGAACAAACGACATATTCAACTGGTTCCACTCCAATGGCACTAGCTGTGGGTGATTTTAACAACGATACCAGACTGGACCTTGCCATTACTAATTATCAAAGTCATACTGTAAGTGTACTACTTCGTTATGACAGAGGAGCGCTAAAAAACGATATCACCATTGTACCTAGTATTGGATCTCTTTTAAGAAGTGTCGCCGTTTTTGACTATAATAACGATAGTCTACTCGACATTTTCGTTGCCAATTATGGTACTGATAGTATAGGTCTAGTTCTTGGACATGGAAATAGCACTTTTGGAAATCAAAAAATGTTCTCAACGGGCTTATATTCTCATCCTTGCTCAATTGTCGTCCATGATTTCAACAGAGACGGTCAGGTGGATATCGCAGTAGCCAATCGTGGTAGTAAACGTATTGGGCTCTTTCTGGGAGACAGTGATAGAGCTTTTGAAAATCAAGACAATTATGGCTATGGTTTGGATTTCGCTCCATCGATTGTTGTTGCCGGTGATTTCAACAAAGATGGGCATTCAGAAATCGTCGTTGCCTATGATGACATCGATAATGTAGATGTACTTGCCTTATACGAGACGGGATCTTTTACTCATCCAACGACATATTCCACTAGAATTGGTCCAAGTTCGGTAGTTGTTGGCGATCTCAATGATGACAAAAAATTGGATCTCGTTGCCGTTAACGGTGGTTTTAGCACTGTAAGTATACTTCTTGGATATGGTAATGGCTCTTTTGAAACACAAACGACATGTTCAACTGGTAACGCTCCAAATTCTGCAGTTCTTGGTTATTTTAACAATGATAGTCAAGTTGATATCGTTGTCACTGATTGGCTAGACAACACTGTCAGTGTTCTTCTTGGATATGGTAATGGCTCTTTTGCAGACAAAATGACATATTCAACTGGTTCTGGACCAGCCTCTATAGCTGCTGGTGACTTTAACAATGACATCCAACTGGATATCGTTGTAACTAATTCGTTTGACAACACTATAGGTATAATGCTTGGATATGGCAATGGCTCCTTTGGGAAGCAAACGACATATCGAACTGGCTTTTATCCAACATCTGTCGTAATTGGTGACTTTAACAATGATGCTCAATTGGATATTTTAGTCGCTAATTGGAATGAGAACACTGTCAGCGTACTTCTCGGATATGGTAATGGTTCTTTTGCAAATCAAACGAAATATTTCACTCGCTCTAGTCCATTCTCTGTAGCTGTTAGTGACCTTAACAATGACACCCGACTGGATTTTGTTGTCACTAATCAGAATAACAATACGGTCAGTGTATTTCTTGGATATGGTAATGGTTCTTTTGCCGATCAAATGACGTATCCGACTGATAGTGGGCCGAGTTCAGTAACTTTTGGCGATATTAATAAAGACACTCGACTGGATCTTCTTATCGCTAATTGTCGTAGTGACACTGTCAGCGTACTTCTTGGATATGGTAATGGCTTGTTCGCAAACCAAACAACATATCCAATTGGCTCTTATCCACAATCTATAACTGTTGGTGACTTTAACAACGACAGCTGGTTGGATATTGTAACTGCTAATTTGAATGGCAACAATGTTAGTGTACTTCTCGGATATTCTAATCATGCTTTTATAAACCAACTTAGACTGATAACAGGCAATGGATCTCGACCTAAGTCATTGGCTGTAGGTGATTTAAACAAAGACGGTGAAATGGATATCGTAGTCGCAAATTCGGGTATTAACAACGTTGGTATTTTTCTGGGATACGGCAACGGTTCTTTCGCTATTCAAAGGACATATTCAACTGATTCTTCTCCATGGTCTGTTGTTGTTGATGATTTCAACAACGATACTATATTGGATATCATTGTCGCTAATAAAGATAATGATAACGTTGGTGTGTTTCTTGGGTCTGTTAGTGGGACTTATTCAAGTCAGAAGACATTTTCGACTGGTTCTGGCTCTCAACCGAATGCCGTCTTTGTCGGTGATTTCAACAACGACACTTTGCTAGATCTTATTGTCACTAATTATGGAACAAACAGTGTAGGCGTCTTGCTTGGATATGGTAATGGTTCCTTCGCCGGTATAAAGACTTTCTCGATTGGCTATGGATCTCACCCATTCTCAATTTGTGTTGGTGATTTTAACAATGACGGAAAACTGGATTATCTGGTGGCCAACGAAGGTGATGATAATCTGAACGTCTTCTTACAGACTTGTTAATGTTGTAGATCGTAGCTTGACTTTTGCTTTCTTTTTTTTTGGTTTGTTGTTTCTAACTTTGTATTTCATACTACTAATAAGTCTTGTAACCATTTTTCTATTTATATATTTATTTTGTTTATTAACATCAATATGTAGAGTTTTCCCATTTGGAATTTCATGTTACCGAACGGATCTAACTAAGCTATGTGCATCGAATGTGACTGTACGATCGTCAAAAACAGGGAAACAAAAAAGGTGTATTCCGCCAGAGTATCATTAAGCATATCTTCCAGAAATTTACCGAGCATTTCGAGTTCTTTAATGATATCATCAATATTTCTACCGTGATATTTGTCAAAGTCAATTTCTGAATATCAACGAGCGTCTTGCTATTGCTGCATATGTACTATCAAGCTTATTCTAGTTCTTTCTATGTTTATTCGTGTCTTTACTTTAGTATATAATCTCTGAATGTTGGTACAGAGCTAAAACAAGTAACGCTCGTCTGTGTGACTCGCTTAACCCTCGACTGAATGTTTCACTGCATCAGCAGTTGTTTATTACTGCAGACATTTTTCAAAAGGTAGCATCGGGCATTTGCACATGGCTTTGTGCTAGTGTCAACATTAGTGTACACATGTGTCGGCGTGTATAATGCTATTGGTACCGTTGTAATACTGCTAGCTATAACATTCGTTCATTTAATCTGTTACTCTATCAATAACACTCAAAAGAAATCTACGTGACCCACACTGACACAGCAATATCCTCAAGCCACGAAAAAATAGTATATTCGATTTTCAGAGAAAATCAGCAGACAAAAAATATCAGCGTGACTGCAGTAAAGATGCACTACACTTCACGCAAACTGTATTAATAATGCGCATACTCATAAACACATAGGCGGGCAATATCGCTGACCGGTACCCACTACGAAAATGCATGTTTAGCGTAGCTATCAGACTAAAAAGCTATATTTGTTCAAACTAATATCCGGTATACGCAAGTTGAATCAGGCTTCAACTCTGAGTCTTTGTGAGATTAAATAACGAATTTTAAATAGCCGGAAAAAAAATTTGACAAGTCAATGGGCAGATGACGTATCTATGAAGATAAAGGATTATTAAATTCCATTCAAGTCCACTTTTGATGATTCGATGCAAATTGTATTATTGACGCTTTTCAGGAAATGTTCGATTCCGATTTTGAAGATCTCCAACACACTCGTTCTCACACTTCATTCAAATACACTTGTTAACCCTCTTGCCAGTTCTTCCTCCCATGAATCCTAGTAAGATCTAAGTGCTAGAGATCCTTCCAATGGATTAGAAGTTTAAAAGAATTCTATTCAAAGGATTTTTTAGGGCAGCAGCTAGTCACTCGTCGGCATCCGAGTGGGTCGTCACGCGCAACTAATTGCTGTTATGCATCGTTCTCTTCCAGTAATTATATAATCATGCACTGTTATTTAAATTTTACTGGATTCTAGATTTGGATTAGTTTCAAAGCTGCCTATATTTATCGCATGAGAAATCCCAAAGTGAAAATACTTGTGAACTATTCCTTATGCGTTTCAATCCTTTACCTAGCTAGTCAATCTAAGATTTCATGGAGCTCGCCATCGAAAGAAGCTTAAGTATATGATTTCACACAAAAAACTAGCTTAATAGACCATATCTCATACCAAAAAAATTGTGAAATAGAAATAGAAGCTACTATATTTCACTGTCGGAGTTCCGACGTGGCGCTATTCACACTTAGCTACTACTATCTTTGAACACATATTCTCAAATGACTACTTTCTTATTCAAGGCATGACTAATCCACATTTCGACTGCTTCAAAAGCTTCTCTACTCGTAACTAAAGGGTACTAGATTTCCTATATCCAGCAAGATATCTATTAAATATATACGTGTCGTCTCTCGAGTTTCTCCATGTTTATAGGAGTCCTTCTCTACATAAAATGTCACATGTTAAGTCTCTGTGGCACTTTTTTAAGGACCTTGCTTGATGTTATGCAGAAATGTCGTAAAACAGATTTGAATAAACCTAGTTTAGAGGCAGCTATTCGTTCGCCGTCCTTCCGAAGGAACGCCATTCACGGCTATCCGCTACTTCCAGCTACTTTCACTCACGAAAGGTTGATACCATTTTCAAAATCGAGCCATCGTTCCTATTTAAAAAACTGATGGAAAGTTTGATCCTTTACAAAAAAATTCATCCACATTAGAAATTTTCTTTGGAAGCTTATCAGTATTCAGGAAGAGGACACGTTAGTATAGATTTACCGATAATCTGAAATATTCTGAATAAGTGGACACAGCCGTTGTATCCTGCCAATCTAAATAATTTTTTTGCGTAACTCGCTCTCATTCCTCAATCTTTGCTCTACAAGCACTCTAATTTCATCTTATCTTCGTATTTCTTGATTCATTACACTACTGTCACGTATTACAAAGTACTTGCTGTTTCTCAACATCACTTCTCATAGAACGAATAGATTCGAGATCTGAATTTTGGAATCCTGATTCCAGATTCGGATTTTTCACCCTCGATAACCTCTAACAAAGTTCGATCAAAACGGCCAAAAGCCGTAAAATAAAAAAGTTCCTTTTTTGATTGACCGGTTTCCCATCAATGAAACTTCGGCCAAAGAAATGGCTTCGGATTCGGATTCAGGGCCATCGATAACCTATAGCAAAGTTTCATCAAATCGTCGAAAAGCCTTAAAATAAAAAAGCTGGTTTCTGATTGGCCGGATTTCACACAATGAAAGCCTGGCCAAAAAAACTGACTTCGGATTCGGAATCCTGGCCATCGATAACCTACAGCAAAGTTCACTCAAAACGACCAAAAGTTTTAAAATGAAAAAGCTCATTTCTGATTGACCGATTTCTGACCAATGAAATCTCGGCCAAAAAAATGGGCTTCGGATTCGGATTCAGGGCCCTCGATAACCTATAGCAAAGCTCGATCAAAACGGCGAAAAGTCTTAAAATAAGAAAGTTCTTTTCTGATTGGTTAGTTTTTGACCAATGAAATCTCGGCCAAAAAAATGGCCTTCGGATTCAAATTCAGCGCTCTCGATAACCTATAGCAGAGTTCGATCAAAACGGCCAAAAATCTCAAAATAAAAAAAAGTTCGTTTCTGATTGGCTGGTTCCTGACCAATGAAATCTCGGCCAAAAAAATGGGCTTCGGATTCAGATTCAGGGCCCTCGATAACCTATAGCAAAGTTCCATCAAAAAGGTCAAAAGCCTTTAGAATAAGAAATTTCGTTTCTGATTGGTCGGTTTTTAACTAATGACACCTCGGCAACCGAAATTGGCTATGGATTCAGATTCAGGGCCCTCGATAACCTATGGCAAAGTTCACTCAAAACGACCAAAAGTCTTAAAATAAAAAAGTTCGTTTTTGATTGGTCAGTTCCTGACCAATAAAACCCCGGCCACCGAAATGGGCAATGGATTCGGATTCAGGGCCCTCGATAACCTATGGCAAAGTTCACTCAAAACGACCAAAAGTCTTAAAATAAGCTAACCTCTCTGGTATGTTCTTTTGACCCTGACACAAACCCACAAACACACACACAAACTATTTTTTTTTGTATGACCCTCCTTTCAGTCGAGGGAATTAATAATCAATTAATAATTAGCTAATAATTAATTAAAATTAACCTCAGATTCGAGTTCTCCACTCTCGATTACCCTTTGGTCAAGTTTTATAAGAAAAATTAATAATTAATGACCAATTAACAATTAGTTAATAATTAATTAATAATTAATTAAAACTAACCTCAGATTCGTGTTCTCCGTCCTCGATCACCTTTTTGTTAAGTTTTATAAAAGACATTAATAATTAATAATCAATTAATAATTAGTTAATAATGAATTAATAATTAATTAAATCTAACCTCAGATTCGAGTTCCCCACCCTCGATTACTCTTTGGTCAAGTTTTATGCAGAAGCGGATGTTTTTTTGACCCTGATGTTCTTTTGACCCTGATGTTCTTTTGACCCTGATGTTCTTTTGACCCTGACACAAACATACATACATACACACAAACTATTTTTTTTCATATGACCCTCCTTTCAGTCGAGGGAATATAAATCTATTCATATTGAATGATCATCCTTATTTTGTATGGTGGTGAAAGAAGTAAAAAGAATAGAAATACCATCGACTTATAGAGACTAAATCAAACATTAAAACAGAATATGTCAGCTGCTAATGATATCTCAGTCGGTTCTGAGAAAATCACTATTGAAAAATGATAGACATGTGATAGAGAAGAAATCTAATTTTAGAAGTCTATAAAAATATAAAATAACTATCACCGAAAGGAAAACATAGTAAGTAGAATGCATCTACAAGAAAGAACTAATACACGCTATCATTAGTTTCATGTATGCCTGTGTATTGAAAAAGTTGAATATTATGGCTAAAATTAATATTCACTAGTAGTAAGAAGAGCTAGAACAACGAGTGGATGTGGTATGAAATGTGATTGGCAAATAAATGGTAATGTTAGAGGTATTTACAAAAGAAATCTTCACTTTTCATCTTGGGAGCTAAACTGCTTTTGTTTGAACATATTGATTTTGTTACAAATGAATGTATTTTAGACAAAAAGAATGAATTGTCAATGTGATTTTTTACTCTATTTGACTGTACTTAATGAAGTAGATGACAAAGACGACTCGCCTGAGGAGTCAACAGTTCTTATCATGTCACTATATACAATGTAATATTCAGGATGGTAGTCCTTATTTTGATTCAAACAACGTTCGTGATTGTGATCAAAACTATCAATCACGCAGGACATTATAGTTACGGAAGAAAAATACGGGGCAGGTTTTTTTCTTACTCTGTACTTGGAGTTAGAAAAATTTTCTGAGCCTTGCTCTACGCTAATATGAACCATATTAAGTGTTACTCTATCCTCCTGAGTAGGAAGGGTAATTGTACGTATATCTGCTTGAGTGTTCTGTAGAACGCGAAAATTATCCTGCATTCTGCGATGTTTTCTGATTAGAATAACATAAATTAAATATAAGACAGTAAAAGAAATTAGCGCCATCTACATGTGATAAATTTATCAAATTTAAGAAACCTACAATATTAAACTAATTAAACATGTTAAGGTAGCAGTAGGAAATATCTATATATAAACATGTTCATATTAAAGAGTTGAATGTTTAAAGAGTACTAATTTTATCTCTTATGAATGCTATGAAAATTTATCCAATCATTTTTCCTATGACTTAGTCTCTCGGATAGTTAAACTGATTTTCCGAGATGGAGAGACAAGTTAGATCCGCAAGATAAAAGTGTAATCATTAATTAATTACTATAGTTGAAATATTGTCCCAACCTGATAGTCCATAAATTATTCTGATTTCAGAGCAAAATAATGAATTTAATTATTGTTTCTGTTTTTCAGAAAAATAAAGCCATGTTGGGAATAATCAAATGAAATTTAGAAGATCAAAAGACAAAAAATAAATTACGTCGAATATTGATTTATTGCTTGAGTATATTAAATATATAAGTCTCGTTGCATTATATATTTTGCTGCTTATGTAGATACCCTATATCATTTTCGAGACAATTGAGATTCCAAGGTATTTAATAGCAAAAATAAATTCGATTTTTTATATTTAACACGAGGTAAAATAGTAGCTATGTACTAAAAGAGTCTTAGTTTTAGAAACATTCACAGTAAGTAACATATTTTTAGCAAAGTTGTTTAATTGAACCATCAGCAATTTTGCTCTTTCTTCAAGATCGATTATATTTTGTGAGAATTTCTTTTTTTCCAAAGGTTCAAACAGAAATGTTATCTTTTTGAATAATAATCTGTTGAGTACCAGAAGAAGATCAAAACAATAAGCGATCAAAGAAGCAAAGCAACGGATAATGTCATTAGACAACAAATTCTATTCAAAATCAGTACCTCAATAGAATAAAGGTACATATCGAAGAGAGTGACCGCTCCTAGCAACAAATGAGCACACATTGAACATTATTACAGCAAGGCGATACTCATTAAGCTTATTGAGAATTCTAATTCATTCGATTTTGATGTCAGTTTGAAAAGAGCTTGTATCTGGGATAGATTAATCATACTGTAATGTATTGCCATTTTCTGATTCCTTCCTTTAGTTTCTCTTATTTTCCTCTTTCTTTTTTCGTTCTGTCTTGATAATACGCCAAATGTATACATATACATATATGTATTATTTTCTCTTCGTTCTTTCATCTTTTCTTTGATCTTCACTTGACCTCAACTTATATTTGTTATTGTTGATTAAGGTCAAAACAACGTTATATTTGACCTTAATCTTGTTCTCTATTGCGTTATATATATATATATTCTTTTGTTTCTTTTTTATAATAAAACTTGGTATTTACGTATTCACTTCAATACGTGAGACATACTCATGATACAAATCATGAAATAACAAGTATTTTATCTGATCTGTCACATATTTATTACTGCAATGTTTAGTTCGGTTCGATTTATTTGTCTTTTTTCAATAATAAAATTAATTGATGTTCAGTCTAGTGGAATGTATCATCTGAAAATCATTATCTTTTTTTGTCCCGTATTGATCTTGTAATCGTCACACATCACTGTCGCTCTTTCCTTAAATAAATATATGTGTTCTGTATACATCAACCATAAATACTATTGCATGAAGAAATTAAGCAGATCAATAAATATGGTACGAGCATTTTTTCCATTAAGCTCAGCTATTTTTGAAGATGATTTCACATCTATAGTGCTGTATAATATATATATATTTTTCTTTTTTAGATTTTCATAGAGCAGTAACAATGAATAAGACGACACTAGAATCTTTATCTAACGAATTATTCATTGATTTATTTGAATTATTCAATGCAGTTGATCTCCTTCGCGCTTTTCATGGTCTCAATACTCGATTTAATTCTCTATTATTGACATATTTCCGAAATTATCGTGTCGATTTTCGATCGATATTCAAAGATGATTTTAATATCTTCTGTCAAACGTATCTTCCATCGATAATAGATAGAATAATATATCTTCGACTTTCTGATGATGAAGATACACCATATCAATGTACTCATTTTCTATCTGCTGGTTTCACTTTAGGTCAATTAAATAATCTTCGTTCATTAACATTCAATTGTGTTAGTTCGGATCCGAAGATTAATCAATATTTCTTTTCCGATTTATATTGTCTTCATCATTTAACACATCTAAAATTTGTCGATTGTCGATTGTTTCACATCTATGCAGATGATTTTCAATGTATAATTGATCAAATTTGGCATTTACCCAAACTGACTCATTGCTATTGGGAATGTAGTTTTAAAAATGAGAGTCATTTTTGTATTCCTACTGTCATATCAA